CCACCATCGCCAACCTGACAGAATATGTGCAAATCCATGCACTTCTGGGCTCCATTCAGAGCTGTGCATGAAGTGCACGCTGGGAGGACACCAGCTGTGGAGGTCATTACAGCGGCTGACAGAAAGGGCAGGAGTATCTACATGCCTTCTTCCAGTTGCCAGGAGGAGACAGAAGCCTTACTCCACTCTGCAGAAAGGAGGGTCCCCCTGCTGCAGAGGCACTCTGGGTGTGAATGCACTGTAAACCAGGCCTTTTGCTTGAACGCAGACATCTCAGAAGAGGTGGAGCACCACAGAAGTCAAAGAGCTGATGGAGATGTTGGCTCCTGACTTATAACAGCAAGACATGTCTCTAGGTATAGAAAATGGCATATAGTTGAGATGCTTCTCCCCCTTCCAATAGTCTGCTGCTCATTTAGGTCTACTAGGTTATTGTGAAAGAGCTGCAGGGCAGGCATAGCATCCTTTTGGGAAATAAAAGAGCTGCAGGGCAGGCATAGCATCCTTTTTGAAAATCCCTCCACAAAGGTACCGCCTCTACAATAGCCTGAGAAAAGGGAGAAGATGGTTCTAGGATGTGGCCAGAGCTCAACTGTGCTCTGCCTCTGTAAAGTCTCAGAAGAGCTAAGCAAGTATGCAGCTAGCCAGATCTCAGCAAGCACTAGATAGTGGAGGCACAGTTGCTTTCCCTTTGGCTCTGCCCTGGGGCAGACACCAGTGCAGCCATGAATCTAGCTCATCGATTTGAGGTTCTTGGGGCAGGGACCATGTATACAGGGCCTAAGTATAATGCGACTTGCATCCCAAGCATGACTTCTGGGTATTACAACACCATCAATATTTAATAAGGTGAAAGTTCTGTCAAAGGACTCTGAAGCAAGTGTCCATACCCATGAAAAGTGCTGGAAGGACTTTAATGTCTGTGGAAAGAAGGCAAGGCTTGGATTTTTAAGTTCTCAGCCCACACCATTAATGGCAATTTTAAATATTGATCCTGTCTTTGTTTAGCACATACCAAACAATAAAGTAAAGCCACACTCGTTGGCTTTTATTAATGCTTTTTTTTTTGTCTTAATAGAAATTTGAAGTACAATGAGCAAAAATATATAACAGCAGTGAGAGAACAGCAAACAGATCGATTTCATATCTTGACACAATTTAGGAGACTGTGAGAAATTGCCGTTCTTTGTTCTGAGCTACATTTCTTCTTTCTGCTGGGCATGTCAGAAAAAGAGGTTTTGCTCTTGATTGCACCATTATAAATCCAGAGTAATGATGTTGGTTTCAGTGTTCAGAGATCAGATCTGGGCCCAAACTTCAGTAGATTCAGGGAATGTAAAAGAAGACAACCGAGAGAAAAGCTGAAAATCTATAAAACACAGTTTCCTTTCCGTGAGTCACAGGAGGAATAGGACCGCTAGAATGGCAACCTTTGCTCACATCTCCCAGTTTCTGGAATCCTAGGTCAGGACGTTTCCAGGTGAGGAGGAGCAAGGCTTGTCTGTCCATAGCTGAAGGTCAAACATAATGGTTTGGTGAAGGCATTTACTAATAAACGTAGAGGGAGATAACGGGGTATAGACTGATCGAAATCTCATTTTGAGCTGGGTATAGACTGATTGAAATCTCATTTTGAGCTGGGACAAATTCAACCCTCAGCCCCACTACTGTTTGCCATCACACATGAGCTCAGAAATTCCCCGAACAAGTTTTCTCCTTAAATAAGAGCTTGCCTCATGCCATGCTCATGGAAGCCAGGCAATATTTAATTTGAGTGCCATAGCCCTCAGATTGTGTTAATTATTTCCCAGTTTGGCTGGCAGGGCAGAAGGCATGTTGGAAAGCACACAATGAGAGTGAGACAGCCCAGAGAGCTGGGGAGGAAGGAGAGGGAGGGCTTAGATGTGTTGAACACTGGGAGGGTTGTTGGTTGTAGCCGTGTTAATCTAAGGACATAAGCAGGCAAGGTTCTTTGGGTAGTTGTGATACTTTTATTACTCAGTTGGTCTAATAAAAAAAAGATATCTTTTATACCCAGTTGGTCTAATAAAATATATCACATCTACCCAAAGAACCTTGGATGCTGGGAAATCTTCACCTCCAAGACACATTTTTAGTATCTCCTGGGCAGAGCACATCTTGTTTTAGATGGCAGGGAGAAAACGCAGATGTAAGGGAGAGCATCTAACTGCCCACCTGAAAACCCACAAAGTGGGAAAAATCTGTCAGGAGTGGGGTTTTACTAAGCAGTTTCAAGGGATTCTGCAGTTGCACTGGATCCACCCAGCGAGTAAACTCTGTATGTACTGGGAAGGATCTCGCAGTGCATTTATCAAAGGCAAAGCTTCCACAGCCCTGCCTCCCCTCGCACCCTGAAGTGGCACAATGCTGCAAAGGTGTGATTATAGCATGTGCTAAGTGAATCTATTTAGCACTAGTAACTATAGGAACAAAGCAGGACTTTCACACAGGCTAGCAACCAGGGGACTCTGCTTGAAGGCTCCCCTGTATATGGGGGCCCTCATTCAGCTGATTTGAACTACCAAAGCAGCACAAAGAGGAGAGTCAGGTAGTCAGGATTGGGACCTCAGTCTTCTTACATAGTGGCCAAGGGAGTCCTTATGTAACTCCCATTGGGAGTTAGGTACCCTTAGCACTTTGCAAATGCCATGAAACACCTACATAGCTCAAGAAATCTGGCCCTAAGCAGCTAATACTCTTCTAGGTACTGTAGACCTAATAAAAATACCAGCCTACCAGGATTTTGACCTCACGGGTCACTTTCCCAGGGTAACAGCTGGGCCTGTTATTTCTGTGACATTTATTTGTGAGACCTATTTGTAGCTTGGCAGGCAGCTTGTTGCTTCTGAAATGCTGACCCATGTGCATAAGTCCCTGAGTGAAGTCCAGCCCCTGGTGTACAACTGTCCACCTCCCAAAGCCAACACCACAGTTGGCACCAGCCTGCCCTACGGAGCAGGACAGTTAGGGGCAAATGGATGTAGAAGAAGAATTATCCATCCTCTCAAAATCGAGCAGTAGCAATTAGCTTCTGGAGCCACTTCCCCAGGGCTAGGGGGATTCACTCACAGCTTTTCAAACTTGATCTGCTCCTGGCCAACAGAAGTAAATAGCTCGATGCAGAAACAACAGGGCGAGGGTCTTGCACTATGGAGGAGGCCAGACCAGAAGACCATCTTTGGTTCTAAAATCATGTCCCTCCATGCAGTCCATGTGTAGGAGGCCCTCAAGCTGCTTGTGCTCTTCACCCCCCAGCTTGGTGGGGATTGATTGGTGTCTCTGAGACTGCACACCCCCCCCAATTCATTTTCCATCAGTAACAAACAAGTTAAAGTCATGAAACAAGTGCCTTCAGTGCCATATGATGATGGTTTTATACATGCCCTGATTACAAGCGTGGCACAGCAGCTCTGGAACTGCTCTCCCAAAGCCTGGCTCAGCTTTGCCAGTATATTCTACAGCTTATTTTTTATGGGGTTTACAGCTTGGCTGTAAAAATTCATGCCCGGTTCAAGCTCTTGGAGTACATTTAGCAGCGCGCTGGAATGTCAGCACTATTATTCTCACTCCCTAGGGGTGTGTTAGACGGAAACAGCACAAAGTGTTTGAAAAGGCTTTTACTCCTTCAGCCCCAGAGAGGGCAGTGCCTATAGCAATGAGGAAATGAGATGTAGAGTTAGGCCTTGACTCCACTCCCACTTTTATACGGGTGTAAATCAAGAATAGCACAAAATTAATGAGAGAGGAGACTCAGGAGCCTGAGAGGCTTTCCTGTCTCTGATTCATTGTGTGGCTTGGGGTAAGTAAATGCTTTTAACACTCCATGCCTCAATTTACCCACCTGTAAATTGGACATAGCAATCACTCCTGACAAAGATGTTGTGAGGCTTACTGAAATCTCACCTCTAAAGCATCCAGGAGGTTCTTTGGATGATCAGTGCTACAGAAATACAGACCATTACTAAGAAGACCCCCATTTGTAAACTTTCCTATGCCAGAGAGAGATGTGGGGGGGCTGGTGTGCAGCTTTGCATCTGGTGTAGCCATTTACACCCCTGCAAAGAAAGGGGTGTGCAATGCTGTGTTCTGGTGTGATAAGACCATGGAAGTTTAAGCACTGGTGGCAATGATTACAAAGGCACCAGGCAGCTGAGAATTGACTTCTCTGACTTCAGTGAAGTTACTCTTGACCTTCACAGGAGCTAGTAGAGGAGCATTTGTCTCCCCTTGCCATGAAGTGCTGAAAACCTCCTGCAAGGCAACTTCCCTCCCCTCAGCCTTCAGTTAATTGGATCAGGCTCCTGGACAGTTTACTTCACGGCCACTCAGTTCCTTCTACTACTAGTAACCTGTTCTCCTGGAACAAGGGTTGGCTTATCTCTGTGCCATTAGACACATTTTATGGTTTATGAAGGTATTCATAACCATGCTTACAAGGAGGAAAGTATGCAGGGAGGTCATCCATGCGTCTTTGAAAGCAGGAACTTTCCTGTGTGTGTGCGCGTGCGTGCACGCACACGCACGTGTACACGTGTGCATAGGAATATAGTGGCCTCCTATGTAATTGTGTCACTTTCTACCGATGTCTGGGTGCTTTGGTGAGGAATCAAAAGGAAAAGGCGAAGGAAAGTGTTGGTGTGAATCACAAGTGCTTTGGAAAGGCACCAAATCACCAGCCTTAAGTCCTGGATTTAGCCACACTCTGGGTAACCACCAGGAACATAGGGCTGGTAGGTTGGCAGAGCTGGCTTGGCAGGGGAGTAGGCTGGTCTGGTGGGCAGAGTCCCGGTGTGTGGAGTGGGGTAGCCTGAGTTCAAGCACTGGCTCAATCCTCAGCCCACTGGGCAGTGTCCTTGGGCAGATCTCTGCATCTCACTGTCCTCACTGCGGAGCGGGGACCCACATTTTTCTGATGCTGGTAGAAATACAAAGCACTATGAATATAATGATAACCCACCTCCTGTTCTTCCCCTATGCAGACACCCTGCGAAACATCCCCATGAGCCACGGGCCTCGCTCCTCCCCGGCAGAGCTGAACGGAAGCAATCATCGCCTGCTCCGAGAGCGGAAGTCCTTCACACCCTCCCACTCAAGTCAACCTACTTTATTTACGTTTGACTCGCCCGCCAACCACATCCAGACCACCCTGTCAGCCAGCGCCCCGCAAGACTATCTATTTCTCCACCAGTGCATGAGCAGAAAGTCAGAAAACACCAGGTACGGGATTGGGGGAGTGGTCTGTATCTCACCAGGATTGCCATTCCACTCCTGGGCCGCCCACCGGGCATTGTGGGTTCTGTGTCCAGCCCTGCCACTGGTTGTCTGGCCTTGGGCAGGTCACTTAAGCTGACACATCTTCCACTGACCTGGGTGGGATTTGTTCTTGAATCGGGGCAGAAGAGCAGCCCCGGTGCCTCAGGGAATGTAGGCAGCTGAGGGGAAGGAACAGTAATGAATGCTCTGGGCTCTCCCTAATGTGCCTTCTGGTAGTTGTGAAGTGGTTTGACTTGTGGCATAATGTAGAGCAGCCTCAGAACTAATATACATTATGTCCCCAGCTAGGGATGGCCAGATTGTGGCTGCCCTGTGGTCAGTCCCTCTCACCCTGTCATCATGCCTCCTTTGCTGGAGGGCCTCTGTCTACTTGGAAGTTACCCCAGACTAGTGATATCAGTTCTAGTTTTAATCTTTTTGTGAGCCTATCCTGCCAAGACAACTGCCCGTCTTCCATTTACATAGAAGAGTGGATTTGGTAGCAGGTCAGTCTGACCTGGTTCAGGCATGTCAGACAGCGACTGTGCAAACCTGCCTGCATCCAGACCCTGCTCTGATTGTGGTTATCCATCATATCCAGTGCAGTGTTTAGAGGAATAAGGGTATACTTCCCCCATCTGCCCCAGCTGCCAGGCTTGCTTTGAGCAGGGAGGAGCTGGCTTGAATGAGTGTGAACAATGAGGAGGGGATGACAGAGAGGAAGGGTCAAAACGTATGGGATTTTTCCAGTCTCCACAGATCCTTCCTGCTGCAGCTGACTTTCACTACCAGTAAAAACACTCACTGTCAGAATCAAGCTGCCAGACCAAGGGCTGAGGATCCACTTGCTCTCCTCCAGCCATGCCTGCCTTTGTCAAAGGAGCCCTATTTTTAGTGCCACCTTGTGATAGTTTTTGCAAATAGCACCTTTGTCCCTACACACTGCAGGATCCACTTGTGGTCCTTAAAGCCATCACCTCACTGGCCCAGCAAAACACATGTAGAAGTTACACAGCTGTGAAGCTTCTAACTCCCTTGTGTAGCTCACTGCAGTGGAAAACGTCAGTGGGAAAATATTACTTCCTCCTCATACCTCTGTCACTAATGCAACAACAGCAAGGTCTGGATGCAGGCAGGTTTGCACAGTCACTGTCTGAAGTGCCTGAACAGGGTCAGACTGATCTGCTACCAAATCTGCTGTTCCACGTCAATGGAAGATGGGGGTTGTCTTGGCAAGATGATGTCTGTAAATAAGTTAGAGATGTATTCACACACACAAAAACTACGTTGAAAGAAAGCTAAGGATTCAAAAAAGGGTTTGGAAACACCAGACTTAATGTCACACACCCCTTTGTGCATACACATTACTATGCAGTCTTGAATGACGTGATTGCATACTGCTTTTCCACCAGACCCCCACCCTACTCAGCACATGGGAACAGCAGGGTTCACCTCAGCACTTGATTTCATCCACATGTTAAAATTGGCCCCATGCCTTCCTTACCATGCACTGTTCCCTGAATAAAGCATTGCCGGTATTAACTTGTGCATGAGCTTTTCCTCATGAGATGGATACGCAACTGGTTGGATCATCATGCTCAATGAGTAGCCATCAGTGATTCAATGTCTAGTTGGGAGGAGATATCAAGTAGGTTCCTCAGGGGGCTGTCTTGGGTCTGATATTATCTAACATCTTCATTAAGGACATGGACAATGGGGTTTGAACGCACCCCTAGCAAATTTGTAGATGACACCAAATTAGGTGGATTTGCAGATACACTGGGTGGTAGGCCTGGGATCCAGAATGACCTAGATAAACTGGAGACATGATCCGAGATCAGTCAGATAACACATGCAAACACGAACAAGTGAAAAGTTCTCCACTTGGGATGGAGCGGTTTCATGCACAAATACAGACTAGAGAATGACTGGCTAGGTTGCACTATTGCAGAGAAGGACCTGTCAGCTACATGGACCATAAGCTGAATATGAGCCAATAGAGTGTTTTTGTCGCAAAAAATGCCAACAAAATCCTGGGTTGTATTAACAGGAGAGTCACTTGCAAATCAAAGGAAATTATTCTTCCCCTCCGTTCACCCCTGGTGAGGCCTCCCCTGGAGTATCATGTCCAGTTTTAAGCTCCACACTTCAAAAAAGATGTGGAGAAATTGAAAGAGTCCAGTGGAGAGTGACAAAAATGATTAGGGATCTGGTAAGCAAGACTTGTGAGGAAAGGCTGAAAGAACTAAGGTTATTTAGTCTGGAGAAGACTGGGTAGGGATTTGATAACAGTCTTCAAATCCCTGAAGGACAATTATAAAAAGGATGGAGATGGACTTTTCTCTGTGGCTGTAGGGGGCAGGACTAGGAGCAACAGCCTCCAGCTTAGCAGAGGAATTTAGGCTGGAGATTAGGGGGAACTTTCTGACTATGAAGGTAGCCAAGCATTGGAATAGGTGGCCTACAGAAACTGTGGAATCTCCTTCCCTGGAAATTTTCAAGAACAGGTTAGACAGACACTGGGATGGTTTAGTCAAGGATGATCCTGTCTTGAGCAAAGGGTTGGACTAAAAAGACCTTGTGAGGTCCCTTTCAGCCCTACTTTCCTCTGATTCTCTGACTGCTGTACCTGAATACTTCCCATTTCCTTTATGATACAAGGAGCTATTTTTATTCCCATTTTATAGGCAGGAAGCAAGAGTTTGGTTAGAAGCCTCCATTAAGCTTAGGTGCCCAATTTGTGATGCCTGTGGCCTGAAAATTTTGCTTTGTATTATCATTTCCCCCTTTTTGGTTTAGAGCATGTGGGCAGTACAGGGAACCCTGGAGCCAGGACAAGCCCCCAGGCTGCAAGGAAATCCAAAAGAAAGAGGTTCTGAGTGGAAGAGAACAGGGCTGAACACATGTCAAGAGAGATGACCTAAACAGCCATGAAATGAGCTGCTAGGTATACACTGCTTGCAAAGCCCAACCCAGAGTCTTCTACAAGTTGGAATTTTTACATGCAGTTTCTGTCCGTCTCAGCCCTGTTGTGTTTGCAGCATGCAGTTCTGTGCGTGGTACTTTATTATGATGCTGCACAGAATTGCTGTGGACTCTCTTATGGCAATCAGAGCTGTGCAGGAGAAAATCCGCAAATACTAATGCCCAAAGCACTAACACTTAACATGAGGATCCCTGGGGCTTTTGGCAAGAGCATGGTAGATAAAGATGCCCAGGCATTTCATAGTTCCTAAGGCCAGAAGGCACCAGTATGGTTTCTTCTACTCGGAATATATGTTTCACAGACCAGGGCATTATACCCCATCATCCCTGTGCTGAGCCCTGTAATGTGGGGTTGAACTACTGTTTAGCAAAGCACCCCATTCCCAATGGCCCAGGCTGCTGAAACACCAACTCTTTCTTGTACCTTCCAGCTGTGAGCAGAAACCCATCCCAACGTGTGCTTCTAGCAGTCCTTAATGCTGGCAGGGGAGTCTTGCTGTTCCTTAAATAGCTTATTAAGATATAGTGGTATTCATATTACAGTAGTTCTCAGAGGATGAACAGTAGTTTGCAAGTAAGATTACCCAGAGATATGGGACAGAGGGATAAGAGGCATGGGGCAAGACAGAAAGGCTGTGTGACCCTCACAGAGGAGGGATGAGGCAGATGCACCAAAGGCGTTGCTGAAGGAAAGACCAGAGAGTGAAGAGGAGAGTTAGGGGCATCATGAAAACTAAGGAAGCATAGCTATTGCCTTTCCAGTGTGCCTTTCATGCCCTGGCAGTCCCGCTGCTTGAATGGAGCCACCAGAAGCACAGGGAGATTTGGCAGTAGTTACTTCTGTTACAGATGTGCAGCTGGCAGAGGCAGGGAGGATGCAGCCTGTGTACTTTCCATTTGGAACAGCAGGAGCTTGTTTTGGCCTACAGGCATCTCTGAACATGTACAGGATTGGCACTCATGAGAGGAAGCTCACAGCACTGCTGCTATTGTGTCACCCCCAGCAGTATTGTTACTACTAAAACTGCTGCTGGATCAGAGGGCTCATTAAAGGGAATGTCAGCAGGGGCTCATTAGGGCTACCAACCTGACTGAATCATCCCATTTATCGGTGGGCTCCTGGGGGGCTCTTGCCTTTCATCTGAGCTGCAGTAATCATGCCTGGCTTCATCCCTTTTAGCAAGTGAGCTAGTGCCAGGAGGGCCTGGACTGCAGAACTCTTAGGATTCCCCATCCCACAAAACGCCGCCATGTGAGACATTTGCAGGTGGCTCCAAGTGAATGAGCCCCTTCCTCTGTTTGACTTCCATAGTTGTCCTTTCAACATGGTCAGGATCATCTCTTTATGGACAACAGCCCTCAGGGTGCTTGTGATTGCACAGCAAGGTAGGGGATGAGCTAGGTCTATGCCTTAGTCAGCAGACAGGCTGCCTCGGAGTACTAAACCACAGCCCTTTCTTCTTTCCTAGGAGTGCAAGTTTCTCTCAGGCTACAAGGTCTTCGTTCTTCATGAGAAGTGACTCGGCCGTTCAAAAGCTCTCGCAGGGCAACGGGCACTGTATGAATGGGGTTGACAGGCAAGTCCATGGCTTCTACAGCTTGCCGAAGCCGAGCAGACACAACTCTGAGCTCAGGGACAGCGCCTATGACCTCCCGCGGAGCTTCGGCTCCTACACCAAGTCGAGCCTCACCAGCTCCGAAACGGATAACGAGGAGGTTTACACTTTTAAGACTCCCAATAACACCCTGTGCAAGGAGTTTGGGGAGCTCTCTACAGACTCCTATGATATCCCCATGACTCCTCTCTCAGTTTACCAGTACCCGAGGACATTCACACTGGACAAGAACCACAACACACTGGCTGTAGCCTCCAGTGAATCTCCTGCTGCCCCTCCACCTCGGCCACCTAAACCAGGGCAGATGGAGCCCCAGTGGGGTAGCCCTCCACTGCGTCCACAAAACGGTGAAAGCATAGGCCTGGTCCCCTTGGCAGCTACCATTCCCAGGAGGAACACATTGCCAGCCATGGAGAACAGCAGGCTGCTCCGAGGTAAAGCACAATCTTTAGCATGCAGATGGGGAGAGGCAGAGGTGTCTTTTTCCCTGGGAACGGGGGTTGCTTGTACAGCCAAGGAGGCTGACTTCATGCCAGTCGAGAGATACTGAGCCAGATCCTCCCAGATCTGCATTGCCATACCTCAGCTGAAATCAGTTCATGCCGGCTGGGCCGGTTGGTTCTACATTTTCATGAGACAGGCCTGTGGCATATTCTGAACAGCCCTGTATTTGGGTGTGTCCAAACCCTTCAGCTGGTTCCTGTCTATTTTTTCCTGTCTTCAGCATCTGATAAAGCGAGCTTCAGCCTTCAAGAACTTGTGCTATACATAGATAGATAGATGCATGCATACACACACATGTATATGTGTGTGTGTGTGTGTGTGTGTGTATGTGTATATATGTGTATATATATGCATGTATAGCACAGATTTTTGTGGGCTGAAGTTAACTTCATCAGATGCTGAAATCAGAAAAAAATAGATAAGAACCAGCTGAAGGGTTTGGACACATTCATATGCATATGTGGGTATGTATGTGTGTATATATATGTGTGTGTGTATACACACACATGCATATGTATGTATGTGTATATATATACTGAGAGGGAGAGAGGTGTGTGTGTGTGTGTGTATACACACACACACACATGCATGCACATAAATACATACATTATATATATATATACACATATATACACACACATATACATACACTTTGGTAAGTCTATAATGGGTAGGCAACCCCTGGTATGGCTGCCAAAGCATAGTACACAAAGGCATTTTGCTTGGCATGTGCGCTTCAGGGCGGGCGGCAGGGAAGGGTCCAGGGTTGTGTTGCCATAACAATGATTGGGCCCCTTGCAGCTCCCCTACTGTCCATCCCTGGCATGGCAGCATCTTGCAAGTTGAGGTTGAAGGTGTTTTTGGCACTCTGCCCAAAAATATTGCCAACCCCTGGTCTATAAGGTGCAAGCCTACCCTACCTTCTTCCTGTGTATTTAAAAGGATGAGCCAAAACCCTGAATCCCATCACCTCCAGACTCTGGGAACAGTCCAGTCTAGATGCAAATATTTTTCAAAGCCTACATATTCGCTGCATTCCCTTTTTAATATAAAACACAGCCAAAATTTTCAAAAGCTGCTCCTGTCCACAGTTGCCATGATTTTGCTGTTGACATGATTTTGGGCAAGAGTCGTAAAACACATCAAGTGTTTTTCCATGCCCCTGCAATGTGATTTTCACAGCCTCCGCCACTCCTTCTGAGCTGTGCTTCTTCAGAACTTCTTGCAAATGAGCAGAGTATGTGTCCAGCTGAGTGCACACATGAATGGTTAGCCTCAAGCTGCAGGGAGCTGATTAGTAGAGGAGACTGTAACTTCCCATCCAAGACATCCATTCCAGTCTGAGCTATATCAGTTATAGCCAAATGCTGTCTTTTCTTCCAAGTCTTCGCTACTGACAAGTGACTAAAACAGCTGCGGAGTACCCAGGCCAAGCTGGCTGAGATACAATATAAAAAATATAATGAGAACATTTGCATGGCTTCAAAACTACTCACCCACCCACCTAAATATCAACATATGTCATTTATGTTGCAGCAATAATCAGGAAAAGTTAAAAGCGAATGATAGAGCTGTTCCCATGATCTGTGCCTGTGGTTCTGTTTCTAAAGGCTGCATTTTTTAGGGCTGGCTCTGGAGCTAAGGCAATAACTCGAGTGTATTCATGACTGTGTTGCAGCTTCTTCCTGTGAGACTTACGAGTACCCCAAGCATGGGGGCAGCGGCACTGTGCAGTCAGTAGAATCTGTGAATGACGGGTTCAACTCCTACATGGTAAGTTAGTGTCAGCACCATGTGCTCTTCCGTGGCCATGTCTACACAAGACGCTGACTGCACAGTTGTTACTGCATAGTCATTTAATACTTGCATACCCAATTACTAAATGACTGTGCAGTAGCCAGCATTACTGTGCAGTAGCATCCCCACGCAACTCCCTGGTGATGCTGACTGCGCAGTAGCTTGTTACTACCACGCAGTAGCTCATTACTACTGCACAGTAGTGTCGTGTCACAGTTGGTGCCCTGTGACGCTGCTGCACAGTAGTAACGAGCTCAGTAAGCATCTTGTGTAGACGTAGCCAGTATCTTCTGTTTCACAGAGGAGAGGAAACTGCTCCATCTGCTAGCTAGAAGACTTAAAGCTCAGTGAAATATATGGGAGCCTTATCTTTGGTTTCAGCAAAAGCAGGCCTTAGGGTTTGTTGATGTAGAGATGTTTTTTCCAGGAAAAAATAAGCTGTGAATTCAGAGCCCAATCACTATTCCAGGGTAGTTCCCTGACATACATTTGTCCACATTGGGAACAACCCCAGAGCTGCTACTCTGGAACAGCTGTTTCAGCCAGTATCCCCAGGCAGACCAGCCCTTAGCCTCTCCCTGGAAGTTCCTGGCTCTGCCTCTGGTGATGACCAATGCAATGACCACAGCAATTAGCCAGCCTCCCTCCACTCACAACTGAGGGTCAGTTTGGCTCCTTACACAAAGTTTCACTGATGGAAGTGGCAGCTCAGAGCAGCCCACAGAGAGTTGGATGCTCATTGAAAGCTGAGCCTGGGAAACTTGAGTTGGAAATGTTGCCAGAACAGGCTTTTTCATGAGACTTCTAATATTTCCTGCTTCCCTTTGCTGGGAATACCATTACAGTAGCCTCACACTGTATTTCAGGCACAGCTGAAGCCTGGATGTGCAGCAGTGCACAAGAAACAGAGTGACCTTTTCTCCCATCTCCCACTGAGCTTGCAGCTTCCCTGGGTGAATTCCCCCACCCCTGGTTGACTCTGCTCTGTTCCTGGAGCTCAGTGAGCCCTTTTGGTAAAGACCTTGGAACCATTTTGGTACCGATCATTATTGGGGCAGTGCAACATAATCACAGCGGAACCGAAGAAGGTCTTTTCTGAGCTTGCAGAGCTCCTAAACGTGTGTTCCCATCATAAGGAAGGGCTTGGAAATTCAGAGTATCTTCTCAGCTCCCAGCACTTGACACCCAAACTGCTGAGCTACAGGAACTGAGAGAGGCAGCATTACGTGTAGAGCCATGGCAGGGAATCTTTGAGTGCCTGTACATGTGCGGGGAGGCTGCTCCAACGTGCCATAATTACAGCGCATCGGATCAGACTCGAGTCCGCTGGAGTGTGCTAATTAGCACACTCCAGCCAGCCTCTGCGTTTCATGTATCAGCATCCCCACAGTTCAAAACGATGACGGGGCACTTTAACTAAAGCTCGTTCGATGAGCTTTAGTCCAAGCACCCCTGCTGCCAGTTTGAAGCGTCGGGGTGCTGATACACAAGACGCTGCAAGCACTTTCATTAGAGCAACTCTTGGAGTTGCTCTAATTAAAGCGCTCTCCCCACCCCTGGAGCACGTGTGAAAACGCCCTCTAATGCTGTCCCACCTCAGAAGGCGGGTCCATGCTGGATAAGGATGGCAGGAAGGCTCCTCACCTGCTGTACCTCACTGACTATCCTCTTGACCACTCACACCTTCTGTGTTTTCCAGCAAGCCAAAGCTGCCATGGCACGCTCCCACAGCACTGACTCAGAGGACAACTACGTCCCAATGAACCCAGGCTCCTCATCCCTGCTCAGCATGGAGAAAACAACTGACAATGCCCAGGGTCTGTACATCCCAATGAGCCCGGGGCCGCATCACTTGGACATACTGGGACTGTCCTCGGCCACCCTCCCAGTACACAAAGGAGGAGCCATTGCCCAGTGTCACAGGCGGCTGAGCGAAATCCAGCCCCCTCCAGTCAACCGCAACCTCAAACCCGACCGGAAAGGTAATACTGACTGCTCAGATGAAAAGACTAGTGCCATGTCTGCAGGTACCACTATAATAATTAGACCTTTGGCGCTGCCGTAAGCTGCGACTGGTTAATGAACTAGTCATTTAAATTCACCCTTTGATAAGAGACGGTACCTTAAAGCACCGTACACAGTTCTGTCTTTCGATGCAGCATCCCCAGGGCAGCTGCTGCCTGTGTGTCTCTAGGCCCAATCCTTTGAGGATGAAATGGGGGAACCACTGGCTTTTTCCTTCCCTGGGAACAATGCATTTGAGGTAAGGCAGGTGGGGGCTGAGGAAGATCATACTGCTAAATCATTGTTGAGGCATGGAAGTACCAGGTGTTAGACTGAGAAGACCCAAGGGAAGATAGCTAGCTTACAGAGAGGAGAATATGGAAATAAGAACAGAGGTCCTGATCAGTGGTAGGACAACACGAAGATGGTGGGTTTAAACTGCCAGCCAACACTGCATGAGGTTATGGCCAAAGAAGGAAAGGACTGGGTGTTTGTTCTGTGGTCTGTCTTATGCAGGAAGTGAGCCCACATGATTTTCATCTCCCCTCCTTCCCCACCCTTAACATTTGTGCAGCTCTCAGATGCCAAGTGAGTGAGGGTGAAGTTCAACTGGCAGGAGGTAGCCAGCACCTGAGAGGATGGGAGCTTTGCCTCTGGCTTCGACAGTGGTAATGCCCATTGAGAGAATGCAGGCCTGGCCTTCCAGCCGGGCAACAGGGCATTTGCCATGGTGCCCACACTGAGCAGGGCCTTGCACATTGGGCCCAGACATGAAAATCCATTTTTTTAAACTATGAGGCTAAGTCGCATTTGCATGTTTTGTATCTTGATTGGGTTTGGTAAGATACATTTGCACGTTTGAGTGGCAGAAATACACGCTGTGGTTCTGCAGTGTTGCGTTGCAACCGCACTGACCTGCTGAAGTCACCAATTGTCTGGCCCCCACATCTGCCCAGGGCGCCACAGTCTGTGAAGCCAGCCCTGATGAGAAAGACTCTGTTATGACTGTCAGCAATTCCCCTTCCATCTGAAAAGCAGCATTCACCTCTCCCTTGCAGCAATGCAGGGAGCTTTCATAGTAGAAGGCACATTTCCTGTGAAAATCCTACCTGGGGAAAACGTCCTAGTCAAAGATCATTGCACTTCAGTGGCATACCGATAAGATTATTTGTGGACTGACGAGATCAATAGAGTGAGGCTTTCGCGGATCCACTGGGGCATTAGGAGGACTTTAAGCCTTGCTTAATAAACAGCACATTTGGATGTTTTCAATTAATAGCATTCACCCCCTCAGGCACCCGTCCAGTGCCGTTCCCTGTGGAGTCATTGGGAGCTGTGTGCACACATTGGACGGAGAATTCTGTGTTCCTGGCAAAGACAAGGTGCTGTGTGGGTTGACTAATGTAAGAGCTGAAACAAGTTGCTGAAAACAAGTAGCAGATCACCTTCCTGGCTAGGGATGTCATTGCACTTTGTCCTTTTTAACACTTTGCCGTTCTAGCAAAGCCAACGCCTCTGGACTTGAGGAACAACACTGTCATCGATGAACTTCCCTTCAAGTCTCCAGTCACCAAATCCTGGTCCAGACCAACGTGAGTACATGGAATCTTAATTCCTGTCCTAGGACAGATTCAGGCCACATTTGCATCACCTGAGCCAGTCTCCTTACCTTGCTTAGCTTCCATGTGATGGGTTTGAAAAAAAGATGGAAAGCAGTTTCTTTCCCAACTGTTGCTGTTATAGGGATGTGTCTTCTATCTTACAAGGCTTGCATTTGAGTCCAAGCTAGAAATGGGCCTAAGTGGTGATACTCAGATCTGAATCTAAACTTCCCCAAATATTTGAGGGGCTCTGGATTCCAGGTTGTAGGTTGGTCCATTAGAACAGCCTACATCAGAAGACCCACAAACTTCAGGGATGTTCAGATTTGGATCCCAGCTTTGCTGCTCTGTCCTACCTACCATGATTGTGAACAGGGAAGTCCTGCAAAGTTTGGATCTAAGTCAAACTTTCTCACATCCTGGAAGCGTTCAGGGCTGAGGCCCCGATCTGGGCCTCATGTTTAGCCTTTTCACTTACAGTGAGACACAGAATAGTATTTATTTGTATTCCAGCTTGGGCTGTAACGATCAGATTCCTTGAATATAAGGGGAACTGCCCAAATTCCATGCCAGCATCCGGCATATTGCAAAGTAACCCATTAAATATCCCTTGGAGAGGTTTATCTTTTTCATAATTGCAAACATTCCCAAAAGCCTGGCAGGTTTTGTCCAAACTCAGAGCAGACATGGGCTTCATAGCACATATGGGTGAACCCAAACTCAGGTGAACCTGAGGGTCTGTGTGATTTCAAACCAAAACCGTCTGAAACTCCCAGTTTCAGTGCAAAACAGGTGGCACTCGAGGATGGTTGTGATCCCCAGAAGTGAAGTGAAGCTGTGATGAACTTCAAAAACGGAAGCCTCAAAGCCTCATACCAACTTCCTGTAAGCCAGGTGTCAGGAAATTATGGCCCAGGGAGCCACAGGATATAGCCCATGGAGACTGGAGATGAGAGCTTCAGTACCATGTCAGAGGCAGGGAGGCTCTGCCCACGCTCATGCAGGACCCAAATAGTGAGGAGTTGCCCCAGGGCCAGGCATGGGGAGCTGCATCCACACCACAGCTTGTGGGGGAGAAATGGCTGCAGGGGAAAGCAACAGTGGCAGAAGGGCTGGAACGCTACCCTGCCTCGGAGCCAAGTGGCGTTGTTGCAGCCCACACCTCTGAAAAACTGCCAACTACTGCTGTAAGCCAAAAGCAACAGGATTTACACAACTCCAGTTCTGCTGCTAATTCAGAGCCTAACATCTTCCAGTAGGAGAAATGAGCAAGGCTTGGCTCTGATGACCATGCCAATAAATTGGATTGTGTAGAGACCACCTGCAGGGCCTGAGAGCTGTGAGCGTGGGTCACCACACTAGGAAATACGTAGTGCAGAGTGGGGTTGGTATGACTGACAGTGTGTCCAACCATTCAGAAGCAAATGGTATTCTCTCCTATCAGCTAATCGCATGGCCCTTCCTCTACTGCAAAGCACCAAGTATCTTTTTGGAAGACACAAGCTTTCCTACCAGGCTCTGATCACATTATGTTATGCTACATAATTTGATTGGGTTGACTGAAAACAAGATGACGCCTTCAAGGCTTTGTTTTCCAGCAAAATTCAGATAGCCCACTGCACAGTAATCAGAGGCCTGCAGCTGTGATTAGCAAGGAGCTAGTGCAAGCTGACTGCTGTAGCTCCAAGGAGCCTGGCTTAATACACTATGATAAAGGGATTATAATTAAATACTTCCTGTGAGATAAAAGAGTTTATGGAGCCTGGATTCAAGCAATGTGATAGCAGGGTAGCTAAGGATATGTAAAGAAATAGGATGCTATTAACTAGACAGGACGCAAAAGTCAGATTTGGACCCCCCAATGCAACGGAGAAGGTTGGCTCGTTTCTGTCCAGACCAAAACCAGCACCTGAACCCCACAGAGTGCAGGGAGGTTTTGATTTGGATCCCAGATTTGCTGTCATCCCCGTAGTGAGGGTGAACAGGGAAAGCCCTGTGTGTCTCAGTAACATGTGGAATCCTCTCATTACAGCCAGACTTTCAACTCGGGCTCTTATCAGTACTGCCGCCCTGTCTCCACCCAGAGCATCACCAGCACTGACTCAGGAGACAGCGAGGAGAATTACGTGGCCATGGTAAGCCAAGCCCTCGTAGGATGGGCAGTCAGCTGACACCTTCCACCAAGGCTCCAGTGCTCTATGAATACAAACATAGCTAGGTGGCCTTAATGACACCGTGTGACAAATGCTGCACATATTCTTATGTGGGCCAGTGGGTGGTTGTGTTGAATGTGGCATTCGAAAGCATTGTTCTGCTAAACCTCCCATTTGCTCTTCAGTTCTTATTTATATTTGGAGAGCAGAAACAGGCTCTCACCTGCATTCACCCAGTTCTCAAGAAGGGCCTCCCACCTGTGTGTCCCTCACTTTGTTACATTCCCCTCCACAACATATCCCAGGCCCCTCTAGGCCACAAAGGATCAAGAACTCTGTGATTTTATTTTGCTCCGTGTTGCATTTCACCCATTTTATTTTGGGGAGCATTGTTTTGGTCCTGCTCCCACGCAGAGTGCCGACACTGCCATTTGTCTTTGAGGCAGGTGTGTAACTTTAGGCACATAAATAGTCCCATTCATATCAGTAGGGTTTCATTGTGATTGCCACAACAGCACAGCTCAGGCATGTTACTATAGAGCTAGGAGCGAGAGTTCAAGTTGGACAGGTACTGAAAGCTGCTGCCAGTCAACCCAGCTCAGAGTGTGGGCACCTGCCCATCACTATGTGGAACCAAAAGTGGCTGGAGGTAATTCTGGTCATTGACTACAGATACTAGCAAGCCTTAAACTTGGTAACCCAGTGGGCCGAGGACAGGCCTTGGACCCATCTGGAATACCATTGAAGTCAGGGAGTTTGCTCAGGTGCATGGAGTCAGGCATTTGCTTACAGGATTTGCTGCGCTGGGCCACAGAACAGCATGTAACTCAGCCTGCTGATGGTCCTTGCCCTTCTTTGCAGAGAGGTCCTGCTCTGGTACATTTAGATTCATAGATTCATAGATTTCATAGACATTAGGGCTGGAAGGGACCTCAGAAGATCATCGAGTCCAGCCCCATGCCCCAAGGGCAGGAAGTCAGCTGGGGTCACAGGATCCCAGCAAGATATATGTCCAAATGCCTCTCAAAGGAGTCCAGAGTAGGTGTTTGCACCACCTCTGGCGGCAGTCTGTTCCAGGCCTTGGGGACTTGGACAGTAAAGAAGTTCTTTCTTATGTCCAGCCTGAAACGGTCTTGCAGGAGTTTATAACCATTCCACCTTGTCATCCCATGGGGCACTCTAGTGAACAGCTGTTCCCCCAGATTCTGATGCACACCCCTTATATACTTATAGGCTGCCACCAGGTCACCCCTGAGCCTGCGCTTTTCCAGACTGAAGAGTCCCATGGCTCTCAGCCTCTCATCAAAAGGCCAGTTTTCCTGCCCTCTGATCATGTGCGTGGCTCTCCTCTGGACTCTCTCAAGTTTTTCCACATCCTTTTTGAATTGTGGAGCCCAGAATTAGATGCAGTACTCCAGCTGCAGCCTCACCAAGGCTGAGTACAGTGGGAGGATGACATCCTGGGATTTGCTGGAGAAGCATCTGTGGATGCAAGCCAGAGTTTTGCTTGCTTTGCCGGCTGCAACAGCACATTGATGGCTCATATTCATCTTGTGGTCAATCATGACCCTCAGTCCCTTTCGGCCATGATGCTAGCGAGCGTAGCACTGCCAAGCCTATATGCATGCTACGGGTTTTTCTTCCCAAGGTGGAGTAACTTGCATTTTTCAGAGTTGAAGGCCATCAGGTTTACATCCACTCATTTTCCAAGCCTGTCAAGGTTGGCCTAAATCACCATCCTAGAGATCATTTAGAGATCAATGGGAGTTCATTTTAAAGGGCCACAAATGCGTTTGTGTGGTGAATGTGTTTAGGTCCCCCCCTCACCCCTCCTTATTCTCCTTGCATTGACCACTCCTTTCCCATCTTTTTCCTATGTTAGCAAAATCCAGTATCAGCCTCTCCTGTTCCTAGTGGCACCAACAGCCCAGCACCAAAGAAGAGCTCAGGGAGCGTGGATTACCTAGCCCTGGACTTCCAGCCGAGCTCACCTGGGCCACACAGGAAGGTAGGTGGGGTGTTTCTAACCTTTGTGTTTTTAAGGGTTTCAATCCATGGGAAAAAGCACGTGGACCAGGTCTTCCACCAGAGATTTTCATGAGCAAAGGAGCTTCATCCTTTTAAATCAGCTGAGGATGTGCCCAGGTCTGGATCTAAGCTGGATCCAGCCTTAATTACACACCTGCGACCCCATGGGAGGTATAGGTGAAACACTGGAGTCGGTCACTGATGGCATGGTGGTTAGCGAGTGGAGATTTGGCCTGCCTGCTGTAGTCCTCTCCAGTGCTCCTGTTGAAGCCAGAGCCACTCTGCTTCCAAGACTTATTGAGCCAGATCAAGAGCAAGCAAAAGAGAACCTGACTCTAGCCTAGTGAGGAGGCTGGGATGTGGCAGCCTCAAGGCTTTGGTCCTTGCTCCCAAGGCTGCTCATGCAATTTGGTTTCAACAGAGCTAATGTATAGGAGCGCTGGGGAGGTCTCTTCCCCCTCACAGCTGAGTGTCCTTCTCCCTGGGCTGTGGTCAGGCCCTGTCTTTCTTGCTGTGTCTCAGACCCCAGATTCTCTTCAACAGCAGAGACCGAGGGCACCCACGCCCCAGCCTGCCCCTCAGCATGGCGGCTAGGGCACACTGCTGGGCAGTGGAGGGCCTAGAACCAGGGTCTCTCACTCCCAAGGTGAGTGCTCTAACCACTAAGCAACCATGTAAAATGTGGGCATCACCAGCAGCTCTGTCTACAAGTAATTAGTGTCCAGACTTAGGTACTTATGTCCTGGAAAGGTTCCCCAGCTCATAGAGGCACCTACCTCGGGCCTGCAAGGAAGTGCCTAAATAAAAGAGAGAAGCGGGATTTCAGGCACAGCCATCTCTTTAGCATTCAGTATTGGCTGACTTAGGTCTTCCCCGACTCACCACTTTGGTTGCAATGACTCCTAATCCAATCCTAGCTCTCTTGGTGCACTATGCAGGGAGCCTGGGCTACTAACTTGGGTTTGGGAATTCACTGTGGGAGGCGGGTACTTAAACATTAGGTGCAGGAGTGCTGAGCTGCTCCCTGCCTTGGTTCCTTTGCGGCTCTGGGCCCAGAGCCCCAGCCTGCTGCATCCCAAAATTTTAAGAGGAGCTCTGAGCTAAGAGCAAGGCACCCCAGTGGACATAGTGATAGTGTAACGAGGGTGGGGGGCAGTGAGGCACCTGCCAGCATCCCAAAGCACCCCTCACTCCATCTCTCTGGTGCTCAGCCTCCTCTCTGCCCTGCTCTCCAGCGCTCTCTAGCACCTCTGCCCAGGGTGCTGAAATGGCTAGTTACACCCCTGGGACTTAGGCACTTACGTGTGATTCTCTTCCACTTTACTCAAGTCTCTGGAAAAAAAACATGAATGCACCTGTTTTTGTTACATGCCATTGTCTCAGCCTTAAGACTGAATCACAGAGAACAGTGAGGAAAAGGAAAACCCCCTCTCCCACATTTTGCATTAACAGCTTCTTACAAATTTGAGCAGGGTGGAATAGGATCATGCTTGGGTATCTGAGTTCACGTTTGCTGCACCTAATAGGTGGAACATAATCTGGCCTAGAGTGTACTGGTGAGTTATTGCGGCAGGGATACCACAGGCAGAGATGCAGAGGAGAAGGCTAAAGTAGGCTTACTGGTGAGCTATAGCCAAGACAAGGCCCCAACAGCAGGGCAGCGAGTGGAGCTAGCTTTGCAATCTGCCAATCACTCTGTCTTCTCCTCTCCCCTGCCCAGCCCTCCACATCCTCTGCTGCCTCGGATGAGAAGGTGGACTACGTGCAGGTGGACAAGGAGAAGACGCAAGCTCTGCAGAACACCATGCAGGAGTGGACCGATGTGCGGCAGTCATCAGAGCCCACCAAGAGCAGCAAGCAGTAACGAACAGGCAACACTGGCACCCAAACAGGCAAATGTCCACCCAGGTGGTTTTCCAAGGCTGGGCCCTTCTCCAGCAATGCAGCCTCAGAGTGTGGCTACTGCCAGTGTGGTCTGGAGTCTTATTTTTCAAACACAACCTTAATTTCAGGGGAAGACTTGGCAGATGCTGTTTGCTAGGGGTATGGACCAACTCTTCTAGGTGGCTGAGTTCAGGCTGTTACTTTAGCTGCTGGATGCACTGTCCAGGATCTTAAACTTAGCAATACCGGGTTCACCAATGCACGTCTTTTGCTTTCAGCTGTTACTAAAGCCACCTCATACCTGTTAACACAGAATAATCTCTCTCAGTCTTCTTCCATGTCATATGCCCAAACTGTGCCAAACATGTGCTGGTTTGGGGGCACCTTTGATGGGTCACAGATTTCCATCACAGACTCTGGGCTGGCCCAGCTCCCTGAACCCCCTTATGTGAAGATGGGCCACCACTAGTGCTGATTTGTGTTTGTTTGATCACTCAATTGTAAATACTCTTCCCCATCAGGGAGCACAACTTCTGTGGTCATGGTTGTGGCTGTTCCCCTCAGCAGCTTGCCTAGTGCCGGGGCTGACTGACTGGTTCAAGACAACCCTGGATCTCCATGTCTGAATTCCCTCCTGCCACACATACAAAACACACACGCTGCCTGGGAGCCTGGCTGATTTTCAAAGGGGTTGTTTCCTTTTCCAAAAGGCACTATTTATATTTAATCTCTCTGAGGAGTGATGGTGTTGGAGGGACCACCTTGTAAAGGCAGAATTAAAGGAGTAAAGGCCTGACCCAATGCCCATGTGAAGCCCATTAGATCTAGGTTGGGCCTTAAGAGCCAAGTTTTACCATCAGTCCCACTAGGGGACAGTCCTACTCCTGTTGAAGGACTGACTACAACTGAGGTGGGAAAAGGCTCTGTTGAATCTATAGGGAGAATTTGGGTCATATGTGGCAGAAACATAGAAAGGGAAGGGTCTGGAGAAACACAGAAAGGGAAGGAGAGCGTGGAACGATGTAGGGTCTTCGAAGAGAGCAGAGGTAGAGATACTATAATGGAGTTAAGTCAAAGTGTCCTAAGCTAATGATGAGATCTCAGACTGGGGAACAGTCTCCCCAGAGGAGTCAGGACAGTCCTCTCATGTGAGTAGTAGTTTAAAACCAGTGTTAGAAAGCATCAGGGTCTTGAGGTCATCCTCCACATAGTTGCCAATCTCAGAGGACTAAGCAGGAAGGCAGACTTTACTGCACAGATAATAATCCACAGTCCCATAAAAATATGGAAGAGCAACCATTACCCTTGAACGATTAACTCACTAAGCAGAATGCAAGAAACACTTAGTGCAGACCTGGACAAAGAACATTGCTGTGACCTGAAAACTGACATAAATCCTCTAGAAAGGTTAGGCTAATAAACATGATTGTTCAAGAGCTCAGATAACCTGTTCTTCCACAGCCACAGCTCCTTCCACTGGCTCTGAGGATGGGCAAAAATAACTGTTTGGAGCAGGGGATTTCGGCTTCTAGCATGAAGCTTTCAAAGGGGCCACCAGCCCCCATCTCCCACTGAATGTCCTAATTCTGCCCTGGCTGCAAAAGCTACAACATAGTGATCATTGCAAGGCTGTTTCTGAAATGACAGTGGTAACAACCTGTTCTTTGAACGGAGCCAACAGCGCTACTGTGTGTACGCTAACAGCATGCCTATAGTGCTGGTAGGGGGCATAGAGGCTCAGCATGCAAATATGAGACTGCCCACATCACACTGCCTCCACTGTTGGACTGAATGCATGTGAAACCACAGCAAACGTACAGCACCAGCAGTAGGGGCAAAGTGCTGACCTGTCAGCCTCAGAGCCACAGGCGTTCACCCCATGAGTTACTGGAGTGACACCATTAGCAAGAAGCAGCAGGCTGCTGTAGTTGCTGGGGCCAGTCACTAGTGGGAGACATAATCACATGTAGGAGACTTGCGTATTACAAATGCACCGTCAAATCAAACCTTTTCAAACTGTTATGACGAATTGTCTGTCGTGACAATTTGAAGGAGAATCACTGAGTCCTGTGGGGCTGTTGGTGCCAACCCCACATCAATAACTGCATGTATAGAGGTTGAACTCTCCTTTCTCTCCAAGATGGGACTGAATCTGTTAGCATAGTGCTATGGGGTGACCTGATGCTGCTGCTCTTGCTGTGCCCAGCCTGTTCGTCAGTGCTGCACGCCTGTCTGCAGGGCTGTATCTAGTCACAGGCATTACATAATTCTCTCTGGGCCCATACCAGATTCACACAAAATATCTCCTCCCAAACGGATGGTGAACAGTACCACGTTCCCTCCAGAAAGGCAATAAGCTTCATCTCTAGTATCAGTCCATCCGGTGGATGAATGGCAGCACCCTGTGAAGTGGCCTAAGCTAAAGGCTGTATCCCTGCTGATGCCATGTTTTGAGATAGGGCCTTGCTGTGAAATTAAACTCCAACCTCTCTTCCTGGCTATGAAGGCCAGAGCTCTTTGTACCCAGGCTTGTGGGTCCAGACCATTTGTTTGCTCTGAAGGATGCCTCACGATGAGAGGAAAAGCACTGAGCCGTGTTTGCGCACCGTGTATTTCTAGAACTGAAACATGTTGTTCCTCGGTCTTCATTGGGACTCCACTGACTTTCACACAGTTACTTCTGCCAGAAACTTCACTGAAGTCACTCCTGATTTGATATCAGTACAAGCAGAAGGAGACTCACGTGCATCCGTTACTTAGACTCACCAGGCTTTTTTATTCTGGGCAACATTCCGTCTTTAGTGAGCACCGCTGTGACGTCGGTGAGCTTCTTCTTTCCCCGTTTCTAAATAAAGTTCTGTTGAAGTCAACAAGCAAGTAAATAGTTATTGTTTGAGCATAATCCGATCTTCCAGGGCTTGGTTTGATTCTGGAATGAGCCTTGACCTGACCCATGTGGGTCCAACCATTGGATGTAGGTCCTTGAGACTATTAGGCTGTTTTGCATAAGTGTCCTCAAAATTTACCAACCTAACCACATATGCTAGTATCCTGTCCCTTTACCAGGAATGGAGGGGTTGCCACTTAAGGAAAAGCTATAAGGAAATGTTAAGAAGTTGCCTTGAGGATATTTGTCAGAAAAATAAAGCAGGTATCGTGATGCACTTCATAAAAATCATCATCATCCTGGTTTTGCTCAGACAAAGTTACAAAATGGGTCCAGCAAAAATCTGTGCCTACCGGAGGTCTGTGAGTGCTTTGATGCCAGACAGCTACTTTTTCTTACATGCTGAATGCTTTTTGCAGGGAGATGAGCATACAATTCATTGAATTTCTGTAGCCCTTCTGATGATAGTATGTTGCTGGATAATAAACAGTGGGCTTGATTTAAAGTCCAGCAAAATTACCAAGATTCCCATGGCCATCAATGAGAGCATAAAAGGGATAGTGACAGCCCTGGTAGTCGAAACATTACAGCAATGTGCTAGTGCCCGAGAACCAGAAACTGGATATATGTGGAAGCAGAAGCTGAACTAGCCACTCTCTCTGTTCATTGCCTCAGCTGACAGTAATCCAAAACATAACGGCAAAAGCACTATCAGCATGAAAAAGCAAATTTGATCTTTAAGAAGGAAGCAGACTTTTCAGTTTTGATGCTCCAAAATATCATTAACACAGATAAAGATTTGCTTTTTACAGTATATGATTACTTTTTTCTCACACTGTCTCTTTGATAGCTTAGAGATGCGGAGGTTCACTTCAGACACCCCGAGATGCAGCTACCTCTGGTGTGGAGTGCAGCAGTTGTTTTCACAGCACAGCCACACCACCCTCCCATTTGAGCTGTAACTATTATAAAGCTGAAACTGAAGCCAGCTGCAGACAAACTTCCAAAACCTGGACCTCATCCAAAGCCCAGTAAAGTCAGTGGAAAGACTCTGATTGATGGGCCCCCAAGGGTCATAAAACTGATTATTTTCCCTAATGTGAACAGAAGCTGTATGCACCTAGACAAGGATTCACCAGCAAATCAGAAATTCCCTTCCTCTTTACATCTGCCAGGCTGGAGAGAAGCTGAACCTTCTAAGTTTCCCCATAATACGAGGCTGGTAGTGTCTATCTTGAAAGGCAGGAATTGGAAAGAAAAAGAACAGCATGGGCTATTTTGTGACTGAGGCTGGCGGCATGACGGACACCAGAGCATATGAGGTGTGTGCTGTGTTGCAACACAATTGTGCAGACTATTTCTTCAATTCTCTACTACAATGGTTCAGCCAACTGCCAAAATGCCTGATGTATCGCTGCTGTGACTGACAGAAAGACAGAGTCAGAGATCAGAGTTTCCCGTGTACTCCCTGCAGATTTTTTGATGCATGTGTGCATGTGTGCACACTGTTCTGATTTACATTCAAGCTAGTTCCCGACTCCCTGGAGAGAAGGAAGCCCATTAATGTAGCTGACAGATCCCGTCTTGTGTCCCCCCTTCCCTCCTGCCGGCAGCTTTCCTGCATAGTTCCAAAAATAGTGGTTCTACCCCTCACCCTCTGAGGCCTGTTCCTTCACTGGTGAAGATCTGCACAGCTGGAACAGCTGCATGACAGCCTTATAAGGACATCTGGAAGTCTTCCTGCTGCCTAACCCTCTTCCCTAGGACTTAAACTGCACTAAGGTGTGAGCTTGTGCCTTTAAAAAGCTTCAGGTGTGCAGCTCACCTGCTGAGCTGCAGCCTTACAAATCAAGCTGTAGATACTCCAGAGATGCATCTTCATAATACCCAGGTCTGATTTATAATCCTCCAGAGATGTTGCATGTTTATCTGTTCCAGTGGGGCAGGTATGATAGAGGCTCTTGAGTAGGGGTGAATCACTACATTGCTTGCTTTGCTGTTTCTGCCTGCTCACCTCTGGCTCCTTGTTTGCACCCAGTTTCAATTCAAGGGGTGACCTATAAGCCTTGAAGTCTTAAGTGAGGTGACGTCATGAACTCTTTCATCCTGCCATAGTGGGAGAGGTCCCCTAGGTAGGTTTGGTCATCTGCCCCTGGCTGCTGGGGTCTCTGTATGTACACTTTGTCCCTGGAACCTCTTCCCTTTTGCAACCCGTCAAAGTTTGAGTTTGCAGGTGTCTTGGATAATGTGTCAGTGCTTTGGTTTGAAGTTGGGTTAGATATGACAGGTGCAGCCCCCCTTTCCCAGCCTGGGCACATTCTCTGGTGACTTCCCCAACTCATTGCAGTTGTTTGAGGATTTTCCATCTCACTGTCTCTGTAAGCGTTGCTCTTTAACAAGCTCTCGTTCTAAACATGGCTTTTGGGGTCTGGCCCTTTACATTTGGTGGAGCTATTCAGCTCCCTTTCTCCAGTGACCATTTTGCACCCTGAGAGCTGGGGGTTGCTTCTCTCTGCTAGACAGGTGGCATGTTCCTCACACACTCCTTGTACAGCACCAGGTGTACAGTCCACACATACTGCCCAATAATCTGCATGAACCAGGCACTGCCCTGCCTGGCCTTCAAGGAGAGCTACATTTAGCAGCCTGGCCAGGTTGAACTTGGGACTTAATTCCTGATACGAATGACAGCTGCTTTTATATTATATAAAAATATAATTCCTTCTGGTTGGTTATCTGAGTAGTCTGCTCTCTGATGAAAGATGCTTGTACAGCATTTATTCCAAATCCAGACTGAAAAACAGCTGTTTTAAATTCATGGGACATCTATGACTTCGGCCTGATGGTGTAAGTGGCTGGTGTAAGTGGTGGGACGTTCAAGCCAGACTGGCTCTTTGGTTAGATATGAATCTTGTAAGAATCCTAGCACAATGCAAATGATTAATCTTTAATCCCCAAAAAACCTTGCCTGAGGATCTCTTGTCAAAGCCTTCTGTACACCTTTACCAGTCCATCTAGAAAAAATATATACAGGCTCATGTTGATGGAGATAGGTTGGATTTCTACCAAATGCTGTAACATTTTCTTACTGTCATCACGTGACAAGCTGATAACATCAACTCCTCAGCTGCACCGCGCTTTTCAAGGAAGCCTGTAATGGATGTGTTTGAAGTTGGAAATTCAGCATTTAGCGGGAAGTAAATTGCTTGCTGCTATTAATGGATTCAGTTGCCAATATTAGGCTTGGAGTCAAGTAGAAGAAAGGCAATGATGAGCGTATTGGAGAGAAGATGATTGACTCTTACAGAGCAGAGTGCTCACCCTGTGCCGCATGAGGAAATACACATGGCCTGCTACAGTACTCTCAAAGCATACAGTAAGCCTGGGACCCAGGTGCACCATATGCCTATCGAGCTCCTGTGCCTGGTCTAGGCCTTCAAGCTGTGAAGTGTGAGCTGATCCTGCAATATCCAGAGAGCAAGCAAAAGGACGTGCCAGAACAGCATAGAAGCGGCCTCTCCAGGAGCTATGTGTGCATGTTAAATGCTGCATTCAATCTAGGAGGAGACAGCACCACCAGCAAGCCCAGGCTCTGATAGGGGCTCCTCTGCTTCACCCACTCCCCTGCGAGGAAAGGGAGGAAAGTCAGTGAGGCTCCATCCCACCCTTCTGAAAAGAGGGGGTCATAGAGGAACAGCTCTGCCCTGCCTCCACCCTGGCAGTCAGCAGCTGGAAAGAAGTAACACTAAACCTAGACCTGGACTAAGAGGGGCCTCTCTACCAGAATAAACTCTGTGCCACATCATGCCATCACTTTAGTATGCTTGCATCAGCAAGACAGGGAAGGACTGGGTGTGAAGGGCTCTGAGGTGGACCAGGCACTCACTCATCCTCCGTGTCCTCCTCCTTCCTCATGTGCACCATGAAATTGGGGCCTGCCTCAGTGATGTGCTTTGAGATGCACTGATGGAAGTCTCTGTGGCAAGACTCAATGTTATGCTGTTGCATCAATATGTGATGCACTGTGAGCAGGGAGCATCAGGATGTGAAGGCAGACTACCAGGGCCATGATTATATCATGATTCCCTGCAGCTCCAGCCAGTTCTCTGGTGGTAGCTCTCTGATGACCCATAGTGTCACCTCTTGGAAATGAGATGTTTAGAGCCAGGCGTTAGTATGTTTTGCTGCAGTGAGCTTCAGTACTTTAAACCAGAGAGAAATCTGTGGCATCTCTGGGCCATTCCTTCTTCCACAGTAGCGAGAGAACTAGCTGATGTCTGGAGCAACTCAGCTCTCATGTTGTTTCAATGTTGTCT